TTTTGCGGAACCAGGACTTTGAACTCAGACCCTTGTGCTTGCCAGGTAAGTGCTTATTCTACTGAGCCATCTCCCCGGCCCCTATATATATTTTTAGACAGATTCTCACTAATGTAGTTCAGACTAGATGTGAACTTACTATGTAGTTCTAGCTGGCCTTGAACTCACAGCAAACTCTCCTGCCTCAGCCTCCTGAGTGCTGGGATTTTAGTGTGCCACATCCAGTTTGCAATTACAATTTAGCATCATTAAACTGACTCAGTCTTAAAAAGATGTCTACTTTCGTTAGAGATGGAAAGGTCTCCAGAATAAGTACCCACATGACAATCTAGTTGTAATCTAAACAATTCTGGAATGAGAAGTGACTACCTTTTTCCCCAATGTCCCACTCTGAAATTGGGAAATATAATTAAGCAAGTCAAGGTCACTGTAATGGCCTAAGAGTGTATCTACTGCCAGGGAGGACTGAAGCAATTCCATGATTTTTTATAAGTTATGGATGAAAACATACATGCACATGCATTTGCACTTTAGATCTCTGCGATAATAAAGCCCACCAGGGTAACAAGTCCTCATTAGTAGGTAAGGACTCTAAATTTAAATAGCGTGTCTAAATTTTACTAACGTCAGGGGACTAACACACAGAAACACAACAGAAAAGGCATTAAGAAGAAACAGAACATTAAGAAGTATAGTATAAAAAGCAACCACCCTTTACAGACGCGCCTACCTTCACCCACGTTGAGGTCTTCTTTCACTGATGTCCTGTAGAACCTCAGCTTCAGCCTTTTCGCCAGGGCCTCCGCCTCCTCGCTGCACAGGAATTAACACCGCATGGGGCTGTGTCCTGACAGCGGCCCCGCCGGCTCTGAGGCCTGCGTGCGTGCTGAGCCCTCCCCAGCTCCACCCTCTGTCTGGGGCAGCTGTAGGCGGCAGCAGGGACAGCCAGCCACGCTGAGGACCTGAACAGGACCTTCAGTCTGCCTACACTTGGGGACAGATGCCACCATGACAGTGCAACTTTAAATAGAACACCTCCCTATAAAGTCTCAAATCTCTAGCTATGAAAGAACTAAATTACATTCTTTAACATCTTATTTTCTCTTTTAAAAAGAATATTTGTATTTAATTACACTCTGAAAAATTTGGCACTGAATCACATCTTCTTCGACTGGCCACAGAAGAGTTTTGCTGCCAAACGCCAAGGCCAGCACACTAATGTCGAGTCTATAAGAAAGGGCTCCTAATTTACTGTTTTTTAAAAAAATTTTAATTTATTTACTTGATACAGGGTCTCACTACACAGTTCAGACTCAGTGATCCTCCCCTCAGCACTGGGATTACGGTGTGCACCACCACACCCGATTTCAGGGCCAGCAGGGCATGCAGTACCGGGGATGGAACCCAAGTCCGTGGGCTTGCCAGGCAGGCGCTTAGACCGTCGAGCTACCTCCCTAGCCCCTCTAATTTACATTAAAATTTTTTTAAAAAATATTTTTTATTATTATTATTTTCTAAATACTGTTAAATTTTTTTTAATCTTTTATTTATTTGGTACAGGGTCTCATTAAATAGCTCAAGACTTCTAGTGATCCTCCTGTCTCAGCCTCCCCAGTGCTGGGATTACAGGCAAGTAACATCATGCCCAGTTTCAGTGGCTCACATGGTATGCTTGGGCTTCCAGGGCTGGAATGGCATGTGGTATGAGGGATGGAACCCGGGGCCTTGCGCTTGCCAGGCAGGCACTTAGACCACCGAGCTATCTCCCCAGCCTCTATTTACTTTTATTAGGACTCCTGGTTTTAGTTTTACTGCAATCAGAGAAGGCCCGCTCCAAAACCTCCCGGCCTTCACATCCTTCCCATGCTGTCATAGGAACTGGTCTGTGTGCCAGTAAGACACAAAGGAAGGATAGCTCGTGATGTCTGCAATGGAGCAGCGGGCAGTGTGGTTCCGCCTTGGCTCATCTGCTGGGGGACAGCTGCTGTGCCGCAGGGCTCTTGGGCAGCCCTACAGAGAGGCCCACTGATGGCAAGCGCGAGGGCCACCTCTAATCCAGAACCTCGGGCACCACCAGACCTGTGTGACTAGTCAACATCCTAAGCCAACCTCATACAAAACCACACAGCTAAGTTATGTCATGAGTCCAATGGAAACAGTGATCCAAAAAAATGTTTGTTGATTTAAGCCCCGAAATTGTGAGTTAGTTTGTTCTATACCAACAGATAACAGAAAAATACTTCTTCATTTTTTTTTGAGATAGGTCTCATGCAGCTCAGGCTGGCCTTGAACTCACTATGTAGCCCAGGCTGGCCTCACCTCTCAAGTGATCCTACTGCCTCTGCCTCCCAAGTGCTGGGGATACAGGTGGGTGCTACCAAGCCCAGCGAAGAATGCATTTTTAAAAAGGTAAAAGCCCAGCAAAAGGGCCGGGGAGATAGCTCAGCGGCATAAGCGCCTACCTGGCAAGTGCATAGTTCTAAGTTTGATCCCTGGTACCAAAACAAACAAACAAACAAACAAACACTATAAAAATTATGTACAACTATGGGATAAGGCGATGTTTCATTATGGTTGTATATTGTGTAATATTTAAATCAGGTTAAACTATTTCTTTCCAGTAGAAACTTTCAATATACTTCCATATAGGTTTCAGGAATGTACATTCATTATTATTATCTACAGTGACCCCACTAGATTTTTTTAAACCTAAACCAATCACAAAGAATGGCTCACAGGAAATCTAAGAAATTTTAAGCCTTTAAGTAAGACCTTTAGAACAGAAGTAACTAAAAGCTTTCCTAACTTCCATAAAGCTAAGCAAAACCTGAAATGTCGAGACTTCCCAGCACCAGCCCATCTCCTACACTGGAGGAGCCAGCTTACTTCTTTATACAGGCCTCATCCAGCAGATCGATCTTGTTCTGCACCAGCACAGTTGGTATCTCTCCGACTTCAGCCACTACTTTTTCTCTCCAGCTGGAGACTGCTTCGAAAGATTCCCGGTCTGTAGTAGAAAACACAAGTACGCAAGCCTGGGCTCCTGTAAGGTCACAAAAATAAAAGTGTGGTTTACATTAAGGAACAATGTGTGTTCTGAATATACACATGTGGGTAGGGAGGAGGGCAACTTCTTTTTGGTAATGGAAACTGAACTTCGCACTTGCCGGGCTGGCACTGTGTGCCGAGCTGCCTCTTCGGCCCAAGGAGGGCAACTTCTGCCTACTCAAGAGGCTCTTGTGCAGACCAGCACTGAACCTGGTTTTGTAACACTGATTAGCTGACCATGTAAATCCTTTTCTAACTCAAAGAACCATTTTTTTAGTAAACACAATGATTTTTTTCTTTTTTCTTCTTTTTTTGGCAGAACCGGGGATTGAACTGAGGCCCTTGCGCTTGCCTGGGAAGCACTTATTCCACTGAGCCAACTCCCTGGCCCCAGTACAATGATTTTCAAATATGTTTGAGAGTATCCTCACAACTGCCTATTCTTTAGAACATCACAAAACACCCACTTACTTCAGTCATAAGAGGTGGAAATGGTAAACTAAGTGAAAGTAGGCTGTCAAGTTCCTATCATTTTCTCCTTGCTTTCAGCATGTTTCAGAAAAATCTAAAAGAAAACCCACAATGTGCTCAATCTATTTCCCTTTCCTAATTTTGTATATTTTACATTAGTAGCAGAATACCAGTAACCCTAAGAAACGAAATTTGAGAATCAGTGCCAAGAGCAAAACATGCACACGTATGAATTTCTCTGATGGAGGAACCTTAATTTGCCTTTCACCTACTTACCTGGGTAATTCCCACACCAGGCCTACTGACAACATTTTCATTATCAACTGCCTTTTTAGGCTGATCACATCTAAGATTAAAAATAAGCAGCAACCTTCCAGAACAGTGATGGCAAACCTCTTGGTGCTTTCAATGTCTGCCATTACTGTTGTGAAAGAGATTGTTTCACAAATGATTACCTGCTGATTCAGGCAGCATGATGACAAAAAGCAGGTACGCAAATGACAAGAGAAAACCACCTCCGGCTCTGGGATTTCCTGCACTCTGGCGAGTTTTCTTACTTTCCCTCCTCCCCTCCAGTCCCTCTGGTAGCACAAACTTTCTACTCTTGTGATAAGACATGCATAAGCTACCTCAGTGGTGAGATGGCTCAGTGGTCTAAAGCACTTACTTCACTTACTTAGAATAAGCTTAGCAAAGCAAAGGGACCACGGTTCAATCCCCCAGCACCACATGCCAGCCAGGGCCGCCCCCTGGTGGGCTGAGCTGGCCACACACACACACACACACACACACACACATAAATAAATAAAATTTTAAGAAAAATTAAGAAAAAAAATAAGCTACCTCAGATACTTTAAGGCTGAAGTTTATGATCACAGAGAATCCTGCAGAAAGCAAGAGCACACCATGAAAGGGAAACAGTAATGTGTTCTATGTAAGTAGAAGGTTTATCTGAGAAAATCCTTGCTTCCATAAGAACAGGCTATAAAGCATACAGTAAGTTAATCACACAAAATAGAGAAAGACGCCTGTTCTGAGGCCATGTCAGAATTTAAGGAAAAATAAAATTGAAGAGATCTCATTAGTATTTTGATAAAAAGTTTATTTACTTTAACTTTTATATTTAATAAAACTATAAATAATAGTATGTAATCATAACATAACAATTTTGTTAGATTTGGTGACTATATGGCCATGACTTTTATTACCAGCTAATTGTCATTTAACTTTGAAAACACAACCAAGTTTTTCCAGGTGTACAAGATCTCATTCTTAAAAATAAGTTTTTTTAGGAAGTATATAATTTTTTAAAAATCCAAGCAAATGGTGCCAGAGATATGAGCAATAAGAAAGATGGAGAAAAAGCTCAATGTTACTAAAAACTCAAGGCCCTACCTAGACAACAAAAAGTAAAAATTAAACAAAATAGAAAAGAAGACAAACAAAGGGAAAGAAAAGAAAAAAAGGAAAGACCAAAAAAGGCTCAAAGGAGAAAAGAACAAGTATACCCGTTACAAGCCCAAATCAACTTGCAGGGAACAGAATGGGAGATGGGACAAATGAGAATGTGTCAGTGTTCGCAGGGGAGAAAGATGCAATGCCCAGGCTCCTCCAAGGGCAGCTGGCACCTAGGGGAAGCTCTCTCTGAGGGGGACGGGCAAACGCAGCCTCCCAGCCAGCCCCACTTCAAAGGACCTGAGCCCCACCTACACGCAGCCATGGCCATCACCTTCCTTCCTGCCTCCAAGTTCAGATCTTAAACAAACCAGGACGTGCAGCTGGGGAACAGGGAGGGTCAGCCTCAAACTAAGACAGTCTTTAAATAAGAGAATGTATGACTATTAAACTAAAGGAAAATACCGTATTTATTCAGTAGGAAAGTAGCTATAAAAACAAAACAACAAAACATCAAAACTACAGAAAACACAAAACCTGAGCTAAGATAGCAGACGTGTCCTGACAAGCAGTTAGCATCTCTAGGAGGGTGGTGTGCTCGTCGCGGGGGCAGACGGCTTACTCGGCGCTCGGCCTTCTGACCAGACGGTGCAACCGTGCCGGCGGCAGCACGCAAGGCAGCACTGACGTGCAGAGACAAAGCAGCACACACCTTGGGTTACTATTATAGTTATACAAATCCAAACAGAAACCCAAGAACTTGTTTTCACTTTCTCCAACTATTACCCACAGAGAAAACAAAACTCTGCCAATCAGTGCATCTGTACTTAGGACAATCCTAATAATGAAATGGCCCTTTCTAATACATATGAACGCATGCTGAAAGATGGCATTTTTAAAGCAAAAACATGAATGAGGTGATAAACATGACAAAAACAAGATTCACCAATATATATCTATAAACATATAGATATAAATGAGACACAAGCTATTTCTTGCAGAATTTACAGAGAACAGGACTATAAAGCTCTTAAACAATTCTGGACTGGGGCACTTGCCTGGCTTCATTCTGTCGTGGTGAGAAGACAGGATTTCTTCAGAGAACACTACCTTGTACTCCAAACCCTCTCTCCCTCCAGATGAGATGTGATGGATGAGGGCACTGGCAACACCGCCTTCAGGGAGACCACCTGTGCAGGGGGACCCCCTCTTGTGTCCCTCTCTCAGACAGGAGCTTTCTTTCCCCCAATAAATCTGTTCTCATAAAAAAACCCAAAAAACCAAAAAAAATCTCTTTCAGCTCAAAACCAGACACAGCAGACTTCAAAAGGAATCACATGTGTTCTGGCCAAGTAGGAGACACACGCTAGACCGGAGAACAATGCAACAGCTGGGAGCAAAGGTAGAACCACAGGAGCAGCGCACACAGCCAGCCAGACTGCATGACAGGCTAAGCGAGCGCAGAGGTGCACTGGAATTTCACAGAGAGGGCAGAAGCAGACGGAGCCTAACAAGTCACTAGCAATGGAGCTCAAGATGACCTTCCCCAAACTTGGGCACTTATTTGCGCAATCTCCCAAAGCAGGTGGGAAGTCTCAGGAAAGCTGTTCTGAGCCTGCCCTGCAGCAGGTCTTATGTCCCTCACCAAGAGCACAGCCTTCATTTCTGAAGACGAAAGGTCCTGGAGGAGGTCAGGGCACAGGCCAGGTCTTGTTCTCCCTCCCTGCGCCTCCCTCCCTCTCTTCCCAACTCTCCATCCTTCATCAAGCCCACTGCGAAAAGCAATGAGGTCCGTTTCTCTGGGTCAGACTTTCCTTTTGAAGGCTCGTGTCACAAAAAACTTCTATGCACTAAACCAGGAAGCTTCTCTCTTGTTATCTGTCTTTTATCATGGGGCCTGGTCAAGAGTTTAGAAGGTTAAGAGGAAAACACAGTTCTACCGTGGCAGAAAGGGGAGTGACAGTAGAATGCTTATGAGGAGGTCTGAAAATTATTCTGCGCAAAAGGCATTTGGGTTCTTTCCTCTCCTAAATTTGTTAAAAGGAATAAGACAATGGCCAGAATAGTTTGCATGGCCAGAAGAAATATCCCTGAGAATGAGACCTTTAGAAGGGTCAAGGACAATCATCTAGAGAAAGAATCACCTTCACACATCTTCCATCCAAAGGGCTTCAATATCACACAACAACAATAAACTCTTGTCCACCGACTCCTACTACATCTGACCCAGAGAAATGACTGTCACAGCTAGAAGGCTGAGCCTTGGGAAGAGTAAAGCAATCAACACCTACCCTCTTCTTACATTCTGGAGTAGATAAGAGACTTAATGCTAAGTTTTGTGGGTTTTTTTTTTTGTATCAGGAATCAAACTCAGGATCTTGTGCTTGCCAGGCAGGCACATGTGCCACTGAGCTATATCCCCAGCCCTTAGAGCTAAACTGCATTTAGAGTTTTGATTTACACAGGTCTAGCTATCCTAAGTTACTAAATCCAGATGAGCAGAAGTAGCTATAGAGCCAGGTGTGGTGGTAAAAGCCTATAGGAGGCTGAGGTGGAAGGATTGAATCTGGGAGTTTAAGAAAAGCCTGGGTGAACTGGTGAGACCCTCATCTAAAAAAGAAGTTATTATGATGCAGTTAAGAAAAATTACCTGAGAGTGACCAGAAAAGGACACCAACTGAAGGGAGTTCTCATGGGTAAAAGATTTCCTTCCTCTCCTCCCACCACCCAATAAACTGTAAGAAGATGGTGAGAGATAAAAACTAAAGTTGCATTTTGGTAACTTCATGAGCTACACCTGCTTAACATACAGTGCTACAATATTCTTCATAGAAAAATGAATGGCAGTGGCACAAGACAGACCTGAGGATCAAAGGACAGAACAGAAGCAGAAACAATTCCAGGCACAGCCGGCCATCTCATCTTTGACAAAGGGCCCCAAAACATACACTAGAAGAAAGACCGCCTCATTAATACATGGTGCTGGGAAAACTAGCTAGCCACAGGCAGAAAATTGAATCTAGATCTGGATCTTGTACCTGGTACCAAGCTGAAATCAAAATGGGTCAAAGAGGCCAGGGAGATAGCTCAGTGGCATAAGCGCCTGCCTGGCAAGCAAAGGTCCTGAGT